TAGATGATTGGTGTTGAGATCTTGGTTAGTTGCAGCAAGCGATGGGTTCTTGTGTTTGTGCTGTACATCATACGAACTGCGGCAGAACTTAACTCATCACTTACGTTAACTATGTGACCCATGAATAATGCAAACAAGTAGTTTGGCAAGTTGGCGATAAATAACTAGAAACCTCGCTTCTTAATACCCTGGGATAACTCGTGAATTAAATCTTTCAGAAAGTTTTATTGCCTATCTAAACAATTGTCTGGTCATGTTGTTGTTAAGATGTGTCTTTTATCAAAATTCAGGTGTTGGTTAATTGCATAATCCTCATTAAGTACATGAATAAAATACTTAGCTATCCTTCATGATTTATAAAATAAATATGTATTCCTTGGAAAATTCACAAATAAGTTATCCAAAGAACGGTGTTTGTTACGTAAAATTATATCAATGAATTTCTGATCATTTTTGCTTCCAGGATTGATGTAATGACTTCGATTAAGTTTAATGACAGGAGGGTCGGCGGCTCAGTCGGGCTATGACCACGGAGGGTAGACCATTAAACCATGAGGAATAGACCATAGACCATGGTGGTCTATTGTCTGTGCTATGACGCGAAGACGGCATGTCATGGGTTCGTTTCTCGGATACGCCAATTTAATCCGTAATAATCACGATTGGAACTCCTTAACGTTGCTCAATATATTCATCTCATAGGCCTGGTGACCAAGCGGGCGAAAATCCGGATATTTAAAGGGTTTTTTGTGAATAAAAGAGGGTTAGAAGTAAAAGATTAACTGATCAATTATAAAATTGATAAATTATACGATTGATTAATACTTGTAATAATTTAATTAAAAAGTTATCTAAAAGGAAAGTTAGATGCTCCCCTTGCATTAAACCAATACTTTACATATTTTGCGAGTTCCAAAATAATTTGACGGATTATTTGAGTTATAGGCTTGTCAGCGGTATCCATAGTGACGCAATCAAGAGATTGTTACTTGGCGAGGCGGAACTAATATTTGAAAAAGTATTTAAAAAAATTACTGACTGATATCGTAATTAATAAAATCGCATTGATTGTTACTCTACAGTCGGGACCACGAGAGTCTGCAGTAACCTATTTACCACATGACTTCAAAGGAGCCAATGAGGACAGTGTGGTGTTGCCAAATCTAATAATACCAGCTGATTTGAAAATATTGTTTAGTATTTTAATTATTGCTGTCAACGGGCGATATAGTAACGTCGAACTAGCCTTGTCTTGTGATTGGCTGCCGCCAACTGCAGACTCTCGTGGTCCCAGTTGTAGTTCCAAACACACGCAATGTTCGTAGTTACTATATACATTTTGCAACCTCCTAATTGATGAACACAAAGAGAGAAAGCTAAATGTCAAACTAAGTTACTCAACAAAACCAACAAATTTCGTAGTAAGACATGATCATCAAGAATGACATTTATTCAAACATTCTCATGTTACTTATCTGCTTATCTTATTAAGGACCAAACCAACGGCAGTTTATTTCCTAGACAGAAACTTCCTGGCTGATATGCCAGATATCCCCCGGTGTTTGCTTGAGTGATGTCTATGACCTGATCTTTCCTTGGAGCTGTCAGTGTCTCGAGAGTGCTGCATCTCATGTTTTCTCCCGTGTTTAGTCGCCCTCTCGTTATGGGAGTACCTCAGAAACCTCACTGTAGACCGCACTACGCCCTGGGTCACAGTGGGGAGGAATAGTACTGATAATTTGTAAAACAACATTGTAAGAGTATCAAATTTGTCTGACCTTAAATTCGTTGCTTAGCAGTAATTAAGATACTAAAATTGTATTTTTTCTATCTTCAACTAACATAAATATCAGTTTGAACGTACATTTGATTGACGTTGGATACTGAAGTAGTTTGATTGGTTAGGGTTGTCTATGGTTATGGTGGTTGAAATCCATTCATTAACTAGATTTTGCCCGTTTCCATTAAATGTACGCACCACAGGGGACAATCTGTCGGTGGATCACATCAACTGCAACAACTTCGGAAAAAACACTGGGTACAAATTTAACATGGGGATGAAATGTCTAGTAAAGGTTACATGTCTTTACAACCGAAATTACAATTAGAAAACCCTTGATACAATTATTTATATGACTGAACACTATACTACTATGCTAATATTGATGGTAAAATTAAAAGGTGGTTTGTTACACTAAAAACAGAATGGATGGTAAATTTGAGCGCAGCAAACTACTGTAGGTGAAAATCTACGACTTGTACCTAACTGGTTATGATTTAACATGTTAATGTGGTCTATGTGATGGTAGGGTAACTATCGTGAAAAAATTGTAAATGACGTTAGGAATTTATTCAGGACGTAATAAGGAATAACATACATATCAATAATTGAGGTATGTGAGTTTCTAACTATTTTACTATTTATGAATCAACAAAACCATAACGTAATTTGATACTACTAATTTTTCTAAATATACAGAAAACTTGTATAACTGAAAACATTTATGTCTTACAAGACAATCTGTCTTCGACTGAGGTATACATTTCTTGTAAAACATTAATCTAACATAAGCAGACAATGAAGCATATTATTTTTCTATTTTAAAGCCATCTAAAATAGACTTAGATATGAATAGCAAACCTAAGAACTAATATGAATATACTGATGACCTAAAATATTAGTTTTTTTTACAAAAAGTCTGTTTAAAATTTACAAAGTCCGTTTGAATCCTTATGAACGGATAATATGTGAGGGAAAATAATAAAATTTAAACGTAAAATATAAGTTAATTCGAGAAGTAATATGAAAAGTTATTCAATATTCATCTTGGGCTTCTGCAGGAACGTGAGCTAGCGTTGTCGCGACGTATGTCTCGGTGACATAAGGCGTGACTTGTTTATGACTTCTGTAAACACAACCGTCATTTACTCGTGGAATTGTAACTTTGAACAGACTTCCAAAATCGTATAAACTAAATTCCACTCCTTATTTTGCGATGAAATGTACGATTATTTTCAACAGTGATAAAAGTTAAATGTAATGTTTATAAAATGTTTGTTTTCTCAGTTAAAAATTGGTGCATTTTAGAAATTAAAAATCCTCTATGCTTAACCAATGATACGATCCAGTTATATTGTTAATGGTACAAATATTTAAAACCTTGATAACATGACATGGCAGAATTTATTATTACACGAAATAATTATTATTATTATCCTGTATATAAATTATTATACATTTACACTTTTTTAAAGTTTGTTAGATATCAAGAGGTCCTCCCTGATTTTGTAAATCTTTTGTTGATTAAAGAAACAATAGAATATTTGACTGGTTTATAAAATGATGAAAATCGGAAAGATTAAAAACTTAAAAGAAAAGAACCGAGTTTGTATTGATATTAGTTGTAATAACTACATTAAATAAGTCTTACAGGAAGTAAATCACGGACAGCCAATCTGTGGGGCTTTTAACTCAATCTGAAACTTTCTTCTAACTTGTATCAACACGTGGTTGGTTCCCGTTTGTAAAATGTTTGAACATCTTCTGTATTTGAAAGAAAGTTATTGGATGTTCCAAGACAATTCTTCCATCACTAAAAGTAAAAGCAACTTCTTAATGTTCATTACGGATAATTTGCTTGCTTACACAGAGATTTATTAGGAAGTGTACTCCTTTGATTCTAATTTAATCGATTTCTACATTAAATTACTTTGACGTCAATATGTAATTATAATTTAACTACCAGATGGTTAGTAATTGTCATGCTTTACATTTGTTATGTAGTCTGATTTTATGAAATACTGTTCATTCTCAATTTCACTATTATATCCTCATACCTGTAAAAATTCAGTCTACTATTTATTATCACCTAGAATTAAATCAGAAAATTTTCCATACATCTTTTTCCATTCCTCAAAGACTCCATGATCTTTATTATTTTTATTATTTTTATTAACTGTTGGCATTATCTTAACAGTCTCGCGAACTAGTTGAGATAAATGATATTTGAGTTCTCTTCTGTTGAACTATTACAGAATGGTACAAGACTAACATTCGGATTCCATAGCAAGTTTAGATATGTTGTAAAATCGGAATAAAATACACTTCAGCCGAATTTCTTTATTTTCAGTGCTAAGTTTATTATTATTGTAATTCCTCTTTTGGCTATATAACATCGTACATTTGATTGTGATGTTGAAATGAAATCGCAGAATTAGTCTAGTAACAGAGTTGTTCAATCAACTGACTTCTGTGGTACACCAAAACATTAATACTGTGGTCTCGTAGGTGTATTGCTAGATATAGATATGAATATGACTAATTCGCCCAATACACGCAAAACCGATGTTACGGAGGAAATACAAATATTTTCTAGTCAAATTTCCCCAACAACCAAACACCTGTTAAAGACGTCCAAGAATGGACGAAAAGTGTATTGCATCTTGAGAAAATGTCACCGACTGAGTGCGCTGCAAACACTTTTACTGAGTAGAGTAACTTGACTGTCTGCAATGTTTATTTTGCAATGAATATTCTGCAAGTAAAATGCTATTTGATGCTGACACTGGAATTAGCACTGTCAATATTTGTTCGGTTTATTAAAGATAGTTATTCTTCATTTCAATGAATGATAATTAAATGTATGTAAATCTTAGCAAAATACATTAGTACTTAGTGTTTACAATTCAGCAGAGTCCAGTTGCAAATTAATGAAAGGTCTGACTTTTTTTAGTATGGAACGGGTGACTTTTAATTTTTAAGGCAAGCACAATAACCACTTACCTACCTAGCCATATATAAACACCTAACCTACTATTTTGTTACAAAAAAGTACAAAAATGTTTTCAAAATTCAAAACAACAATTTGGTGTGGAAAAGCAAATTGAAGACAAGTTTAACAAATTATATTTCAAAAATAACATTGTATTTTGTGCTTATAAGGTTACAATTTGTGCATTGTAAAACGTAAAAAATATAAATGTGTTTGGTTTTCTTTCAGGAGCAGAACACCTGGTTATACCACCTCGCTCCTAATACTTGTAGGTAAGTTAGGAACAATTTTCAGGTTAAAAGAATAATCTGTGAAATTTTATCTAAGGCCTGTATTTGGAATTTTAAAACAATGTCGAGGCTATCAAAATATAATAATACAACCCACATTTTTTCCCACTAACATATTACAAATCGGGTTTCCTTTTTAGCTAAACTATGGTTATGTTTGGTAATGAGTATTTAACCCCCTGGCATCAAAAGTGAGTGTAAACAAGTTTTATTGTTTGACGTTGGAGCCGCCAAAGCTAACATCTCTGCCAGCCGAAATGGGCATCTGCAACGCACAATCTTACATTTCCCTTCTTTGTTGTATATTTTTAAGTTATTATTAAAATTATGTTTACGAGTAAAGTTTGTGTTATGTAAGGTATATATTGTAAATATAAAAAGAATAAGAATAATTAATAAGAAGAACATTTATAAGTTATGAGAAGTATATGATACCCCCATCGCAGCAAACCTGCAGACTAAGCGAATTTCCATTTCCCTGAATGGATTTACACTAAAATGTCTCCTTAAAAATATCACATTTATTCCCTATTTAAAAAAAAATCAGGTTAAAACATACTTAGGTTTGCTGCAACAGGGAGGGTAAAAGTGTTTTTATGTAAAATGTTAATTTGGTAAGAAATAAAAACATTTTCCAAATTTCGGCAAAATATGTTAATAAACAAGCAAACTACAACAGTTTACTTATTCTCCATAAGAATAACATGGAAATTTTAAATTTACAATTTTTTGGAAATATCTCCGTAACTATTAGGCGCATTATAACGCTTCAACATACTAAATTATTTGTTTTTTTAAGCTCTACAAAATAGTTTAGAAAGAAATTGCAAAATTTTATGTTTTTTGGGTCAAAAATGGGAAAACCCCATTTTTACCCCATAAAAGTCCCCATAAACCCCCGTTCCCATGGTCCGATCATGCTGTTTCGCGAACTCGTTCGAATAAACGTAGGTTTACACGTTTGTACGAAATTTCATCAAAATCGGATCATTTTTGCTCGAGTTATCGCGCTAACGGACACACATACATATATATAAATATATATATATATATAAATATATATATATATATATGTGTGTGTGTGTGTGTATATAAATTTGAACGGATGGTGTTTTTGGCCTCTAGGGACCTCAAAACGAAAAAAAATCGGTCCCGGGTCCAGGTCTTACCATGAGTACTACGGTAATAGCTTATTCCCTATATGAGAAATTCGCTAAAATGCATTCGATTACATACATGTACATAGTATAACATGCTACATGAAGTACAATGAGCCTGCCATAACATAACGAAGTCGAAGAAGGAGACAAGAGGAGAGAACGCCTTCTTCTTGAATGGCTACTCTTAAAGAGCCAAAGACCCAACCAAATACGTATGTCATCAAGAGTCCAGCCTCTGGTAAAGGACTATCAAATGCTGGGTGACAGCCAGTTCTACCACTTCTGTGAAAAACTTTTATTATTTTATCTAGTGCGGGTGAAATAATTTAAAGTTAGAAACAGTACCGATCGTTTAAGCATTTTCATCTACAGGTTTACACTCTAAATACATATGTTTGTATAAGGAAAAATGCGTGGTTAAATAAACTTTTAATGTAAGTGTTTACGTTATGTGCGACGTTTTAATTAGTTATTAAAATAGCCTTTTGGGTTTTCACTCGTACATAATAAAGATAATACTGGTGTTAGGAACATCAAGGATGACTCCTACGAGCTCATATCTTGCATGCTTGAGTTTATTCATCGCTTAAATTAGACTCCAACTCCAAACGTCGTTTTACCGAAACATTTTGCATACTTCGAATGCTTGGCATACACGATATTGCTTGATAGACGTAGTAAAAATGTATTACTTTTTTAGTAAAATAATTAATATTAAGCTTATAACGCTACGAGAAAATATCCCGCAAATCAAATGTTGTTGGTTAAACTCAAGGCAACATCCATATTAATCAAATATATTCACAAACATTAAGTCGGCTTGCATGCAGAAGAATTGACATTAAACAACAATACTGAAACCCTAGAAAGCATTAAAGTTGGATTGAAAACTCACTAGAGGAGTTAATAAACCACATTCGATATTGCAAACAGTAAAATGTGCGGTTGCACCTTCGCATATAACACAACAGTTTATGGTTCAATGAAAGAAGTCATTTTATTACTGGCCACAAAATTTACAATGGATATTGAGCATTGGATTGTAATCTACATTACTTTGAGGGAATTTCAAAATGAAGGACTGGACGGAGGGGGGGGCATCTGCGCCTTATTCGGCAACAGGTGTGAGGCGATATTAGAGATTCTGAAAATAGTGGATGATTTTATTTAAATTCTGACTTCTAAAGCACAGTGACCTGTGTAAAACAGGCCTGAATCTAACGAATACTATCAAACATTATACTGTATTGACAATTCTAAAATACAGGTAACCCCTTCAAAAAGGAATAACACATAAATGATTCGTCAGTTTCCAATTGTGTTTAAATTGTGTAGAAAGAAGGGAGAGGAAGTTTCACATAATTTAGTTCGTAAAATCTAACCATACCAACACCATCTTGTGCAACTATTTACGATCGTTTATTAAATTTAGAAAACACGAATAACTAAATAAAAACTACACGTATAAATCATTCATTACTTTACTATGGTGGCCCAACTGGGTAGGAAAGAGAAAAGGTTTCATAATTTTTAGTCCGTAAATTATGATTAAAGAAACACTAACTTATACTGACTATAATAATGCACAACATTTATCCTTTTTAAACCAAAAAGTAAACTTAATTAACAAGAGTGCGCAAATAAATAAACAATTTATTGCATTGCAGCAATATTGTCTAAGCTGGACACAAAGCCTTTGAGAGTTTAGATTTCATCCATTTAAGTTGGTCAGACCTTACGCAAACTACACCATTACATACTAAATTTAAAAAGAAACTTTATTTTACAATTTGAAAATGCAGTAAACCAAAATAAACTCTAAGCAAATATAGTATTTATCAGTTCGCAATATTGCTTTGCCTGAGTAACAGAGTATAATAAGTTACTGATATTGGGTTTCACGCTTTTTAGACCATTCTTACCAAATCAATACTAAAAACACCTCAAGGTTTTTTCGGTTCTAGAGTTTAATTATTTGACGTTTGTCACTGGGTTATTGGTCTTGCTTTTAAGACTACAACTCAACAAAACTAAGGTTTGTAAATTTGCGTGTGCCAAGGTAACAACTGAGTTTTCATAAATCCGTCTTTTTCCGATAACGATTACATTCCTAAGCCAAGATCGAATTTGCCTTAAACGATTTGTTAAATGAAGTGAAAGTGCAGTCTATTGGGAACCGATACGTGAAAATTTTCAGAGAACTCTAGCAGTTAGGTTTTGGTATGTTTGACTAGGTTAAAGTAAGAATAACTATAGGGTAATGGATATAAAATACAAGGACTAATAATATTTTACGTCGAATTTTTCGTTGAATTTAATAGTTCAAATTTTCATAAACTTTTAACATAATCATTTAAGAAATTGAAATAAAAATCAATGGATTTGTTTTAGATTTATGTCTTATTGTGACTTTTAGTAACAAACTTAAACCCAATCAACCTACTCTCCCTATTTACATACATATGTATCCTGTTTGTCCCTATTCAAGCCTCTTCTGTAGTAAAATCTATCTCCCTTCAGCACTAAAGTGTAAATTGAATAAAGAAATTACTTTTTTAGATATAAAGTAGGGCTAACAAGTATTTTCTTACTTGATCTTTATCAGTACAACAAAACATAACAGGGATCGATACTGATTGTTCAAAATGTTCATTACTTGAATAACTACAGTCTTAATTTTTACCTAGTTAATGAGATAAAATACTACTCCTTTTTATTTAAAATTATTAGTTTTTTTTTCTCTCTAAGAAATATATTTACTAAACAATGTTGATAGCAAAAACTTCCAATATTGTGACTGACGAATGGACACTTTCAGGACCAATCTTTTCGCCAACAACAATGTTCTGTATAATGAAGCCCCTCAGGATGTGTTCAACGTCAAGAAGGACTGTTAATGCATTACTTATTCTGAACAAATGTATATCTCAACATTAGCTTTTGATTTTAAATTCGTAATACTTTTAGAAACCATAGAATTCTTAAGCAGAATTCTTAATCTTCAACCCATTCTTAAACAATCCAATGAATATCCATTCCTTTGTAAAACCGTTACGTGACTGCGACCGTTTAAAATATCGTCAGTGAAAAGTTTGCAAAATGAGAAGAAACTATATAATAAAAATTAAAAAATTAAACTAGACAAAATATTATGTTAATGATGCAGTAGTAGTATGTCTGTTTTATTGGCCACTGAGTGTTCATCTTCACTGTTTTTATATTATTTATTGCCCCTAGTGTGTTTACTTAAACTAGTTCGTTTCTTTTTTTGTATCTTTCCATAGCGATTCTCTGATCATTTTATTACTTCAGCATCTAAGATGAATTAGTGTCTATTCAGCTTGAGTCAGCCTGGCAAGTCTTGTCTGAGCGATTTAACACCATCTCATCGTTGAGCTTCTCCTCGTCCATTTGTCTATAAAATCTTCCAAGTGGACTAACTAAATATCTGTTCCAAGGAGATGGTTTTTTGTAGCTATACAATTTTAAGGAAAAATAAATTTCCAAGTTTACATGTGTTTTAATTTGATTCTACTAATTTACACAAATACTGTATGCCTAGAGACACTCGTAAGCTACATATGTAAATATTATTTTAGCAAATCAGTATTAAGCTTTTGCGCCGTTAGCCACTGATTATCAGGTTTAAACTGGCGATCTTCTTTTGTTAAGCCAGCATTAGAACCACTCCGTTCATTCTGGTATTATTTTTTTCAGGATCCCTATAACCGTAAAGCACATCTTGTCTATTATCCAACAAATATTATTTAGCATTTTATTTTTCAAAACGGCAGTAATATGCTTTTAATAACAATACCATAT